TACACAATATCTCATGAAAACCAACCATACTTTAGTAATTCAAATGAACTTAAGTACATGAATTGCTTTGCGTAAAAGGAACACTGTAAACTTTATTTTATATTATCAAGGTTTATCTCTGAAACAGGTTGGAGCTCAAAGGCTTTCTCTCTTGCCGGTTATACCACAAGGTGAGTTCCTTTTTACTTCCTGCTTCTTCACACACATGCTCTCCAGTACAGGTTAGCTCTGAGTGTTAGCGATGCTAATGTGAACACCGACCATATTACGTCCAAAACAGTCGGGCATTGTTTCTGATAGCAACGTTTCTGATTGGGCCGTGGGTAGTGCTGCGTACCTGGACTCACATTCAGGTTCAGGTCCGGACTCAAGTCCAGAGGTTCAGGTTCAGGTCCGGACTTATAAGTCCGGACCTGAACCCATGGCGTGTGTCAAGTTGTGTGAGTAACTAAAGTGAACTTATTGTGAGCTAATTATCAATTGAAAATTAACTCATAATCAACTCAAATTCAAACTCGTCAGGTTTATTGTGCTCCCTTCCAACTTGTGTCTACATTTCTCTACAAAGTACACATGTAAAAAAAAAAAACTTTTTGTCACTTAGTCTACAAATGACTTATGACAGCAACTACAGTGAACTACTACAAAGTTCAAACATTTATTTCATTTACCAAACTAAAGTAACCAAACAGTCCCTGAGCTGACTGAGCCTAAATCCCTAAAACGTTGCTGAAAGGTAGAGTGTAGAGTAGACTATACGCATTACACTGTTACACACCTACTATACAGTATAGTCTACACTGTAGTGACTGACTGTACAGTCAGAGTGTACTGTACTGTCTGTACACCATGTATTTTCTACAACTCTACATGTGTACATTATACAGTACATACTACATACATAGTGATGTACATACTGTTAGAAATTAAAATCAATGTTGATATGGCGTAATTTTGAATTAAATACACTATTTAATTTAAATCAGTTTTATTCTGAAAAAAACAGAAGTTCGCACTATTAACTTAATACTTTTATTCTGAAAATTATTCACTTCCGGTTAGCATTAGCATGTGGCGAAATGCTACGTTTTCAAACCGTGAATCGAAGGTGAAATGACATGTGATGTTGTACACTGAGCACACTGGGATTAGCACTCATTTATTGACGCTGAATAACGTTTATCAGGGAATGTTTAAATAACCACAGACACCAGAATATACGTAAGTGCTAGTTTTTTTGCGAGTCCAAGTACCGGTTCCCGACGTTCCGGTTTTAACCGGACTTGAACCGAAACTTTTTACAAGTCCAGTACCGGTTCGGCGTACCGGTACGCAGCACAAGCCGTGGGTCCACGTTTCAGATATTACGTCATATCGGACGCAAATCTGGATCAGCTCCGTTGTTCCCCGTTTTTAGAGATTTGGGTACGGAGGAAAAGAGAGAGGGTTTTATTTTCTGACGCTGTGTGAGTTCCCCGACACACCGGGGACACATGTTGATGTATAAAAGACATCAAAAAAGTGCATTTTGCATGATAGGTCCCCTTTAAGTAAGCCTTTTGAAAGCTGGCCATTTTTGGTTAATGCACACTGAACTTGCTTTAACAGGGCTTTTTATTTTAAGAAGTAAAAAAATATATAATGTGGAGTATAAGAGAGGCATATGCTCTGATTTTAAGAAATAATAAAAATATATATATTCTAGAGAAGATGCCTGGATGCTTACGTTACGCTTGCTTGATTCAGGGCATGCATTCTAGCTTTTCTATTGGTTGATTTTGGTTTCTTTAATTAGTTTAAAATCTTAGTTTAGTTATTTCACCTCAAAATATGCCCCTTCAACTCTCCCTACACAAAAGGACATTCTTTCCTGCTTTTCCATCAGTCTACTGTTATTTCCTTAATAAGGATATAAGAAATAAGCTACTATATTATATATTACTTGTATATAGACTCTTCTTGCACTATTTCTATTCCATTTTATTTGTATTTACTTGAACTATTTTATCTGTTTTGTTGTTTTGCACTGTTGGAGGAGCCATGAAAGATTGTCATTGATATATCTACACTGTAGCTTTGTTTGAATGACAATAAAAGCATTGAATCTTGAATTGAATAAGCAAAAGAATCGTAGTTTAGACCGAGTTTTTCTCACCTTAAAAATATCCCCCTTCAACTCTCCCTTCTCAAAATGTGTTTTTTTTTTTTTTAGATTAAGGACATCTTTCCTGCTTCCATCAGTCTACTTTTATTTCCTTAACAAGCAAAGAAATCCTAGTTTTGTCTGAGTTTTCTCACCTTAAAATATCCCTTAAATGTCCCCCTTCTCTTATTCATACATTCACTTCTACCCGGTGCATTTTTAAAGCTCAGGGACCACCCACTTCACAACAAACAACCTCCCCTCCCCTCCTTAATGACCTTTAATGTTATGAGCCGAGTCTCCTGATCTGGAACCGAGGGATCTTCCAGTCTCGTTGCTGATCAACTCCTCCTCCCCCACTTTTCTCCCCCATCTTTTCTCCCCCGCTCAGCCCAGCCCTCTCTTCTGCTGCAGCTAAGCTTGTTTTTGCGACATAGCTCTGGAGCAATCATCCTGATGGAAGCCCGGCCCACTTTTCTCTCTCCCAACCCTCCCCCTCTCTCAATATAACTCGGGTTTTCTGCTGCATTTCTTTCTGTTTTTATGAATATATATATATATATATATATATTCCACTCTCTGCCTCTTGTTCCTGTTTCTGTTTTCTCTTTCCCTCCCTTGCTGCCTCCCCCCCTCCCCCTTCCCTCTCTTCTCTCTCAGTAAATCAGCTTTCATAACGCCGAGCAGCCTTGTTTTGACGTTACTCAGAGTCCGGGGCTGGTTTCCTGTTGCTATTCTGGGGGCCGTTAGCTTCCTGTGTTCAGCGAACGTTTTTATTCACGTTCCAGGGCTTCTTTTTTTTTTTCGCCCGCTCACTCTCACCCCTCCTCCCTCCCTACCTCTAGCTCGTCTGTTTCTCTCTCTCTCTCTCTCTCTCTCTCTCTCTCTCTCTCTCTCTCTCTCTCTCTCTCTCTCTCTCTCTCTCTCTCTCTCTCACCCTTTCCTTTCTTTCTTTCTCCTCTGTGTGATTTTTAATTAATGTACTTGAGAAAATTCAATCTGCTGACAAAGTGTGTTGTTTTGCATTCAGTGGAATTGTTTCCCAGCGTGAAAAACCCTAGCCCTGTTTTGCTCACAGAGAACACTTTGCTCGCTCACACACTCTGACACACACACACACACACCTGCACACACACACACACACCACACACACACACACACACACACACACACACACACACACACACACACACACACACACACACACACACACACACCCCCCTCCCCTCTGCCTCCATTTCTGCTGGGCTGAGCTAGTTTTGCAGCACAAAGACTGAGGCTG